ACTAGATGGCCTTTAAAGGTCTCTTCCAAGCAAAACTACTCTATGATTCTATGATTTGCTGCCAGGAAGCAAGCTGGCGTGGCATCCTGCCTCTCCCCTGCAGCTGATCTACACAGCACTAGGAGGTTGTGATCTTCTCAGTTATTTCATTCAGTGAAATGATGGAGGCCTGTGCAGATCTGAGGGCTCCAGGTCTGCAGATTAACCATATGGCTGTTGGCACAGCATCACATGGTGGGAGGCATTTGTCCAACTTCCTGTTGGTAGGAACCTAGGAAACTCCTTTCCTCAAAGTCTTAATACTCTCTTTTTAACATCAAATGAAGCACTTGGGGTTAGAGAGTGATGAAATTAGAGTTGCTTATACATCCTGTAACTTTTTCTCTACCACATAAATTTTTCCCCCACAAAATGTATGCTTTGCTCAGTAACAGAGATGAGCTGTTGCGCATGTAATACACTTTTTTTCTGGCTTGCTGCTGGAGAAGGAAAAACGTGCAGTGTGAGAGTTGGGGAATTATTTGAAGAAAATGGCTGTAGTAGCCACAGGAACATGATCTGATCTTCCAGGCCAAAGAGTTTCTGTGTAGTCTCGGACTAGTCGTTTTGAGCTAAACTTTTCAAAGCCTATCAGTAGCTGTTGTACCTAACTTGTTTGAGATGCCCAATTCTCCAGTCTGGAAGAAAATTGGTAAAAATACTGCATACTCTTTTCTGAAACAGAAGTTTCAGAAAAAAGTGTTTTAGGCATCTCAAATCAAGTACTGCTCAAATCAGCAGATACTTCTGAAATTGTGCCATCTGTGCCTTAGCTCAGTCTCCATGTAATGGTAATAATGCTACTTCTAAAAGAAGATTGTGGGAGATTTTGAAAATAAATTAGCTTAATGTTTTGTGGCACAGTCAAGAATAAAGAATTGGTGGGATGAAAGCTGGGGGAATAAAAAGGAGCTGAAAGATTATACTATAAAGTACAGTGTCATGCACCTAGTATCTAATGCAAATGTCTCCTATAAATGTGGAGCTCATCAAATGGAAACTACAAAGGAGGAAGAAAGATCTGGGAGCATTGCTACATCTTGTGATAATAATTGAGGCAGCACTTTCATGATGTTACACTGTGACCTTAAAAGGTATCAATGGCTATCAGAGAAGCACTAATGCTATTGGGCTTTTGGGAGAACTCATCTGGACACTTGTATATACTTTCAGCTTTATAGCAGAAAGATGAGAGCAAACGGGAGAAAGTGTCTGATGAGACTGATAGCATGGTTGGAGCAACGAGTGGCCAGTTTTAAAAGGCAAAGAAAAATGTGTAGCTTATTGAGCCTTGCAAAATGAAGATAGAGGGATGAGTAAGACAGCAGTTTGCAAATATACCTGAAGGATTAATAACAAGATGGAAGCTAACTGAGCTGAAGTACAGTTTTTGGCACAACAGTAAAATGGCTTGAAATTAATGGAAATAAGTTAGGTTGAAAATTAAGTAGTTTGTAAGTAACAGAGTCGTGAGAGATTGGGGCAGTATCCCAAAGGATAGAGTGGAAGGAAGACACCTTGTTGGGCTGGAGATGAGGCTTGAACCCTTTGAGAAGGGTGAGCAGGACCTGGGCTCAGACTCAGGAGCATGTAGCCAGTTAAATGTGTTAATTAGAGCAGATGCAGCATGCACGCTTGGACATTGTGCGTGCAATGCGCATGGGCAGTTGACCTTTTCTTTCTCTCAAGTGAAATCAAGTCATTAGGAAGCATCTCAAACATTCTGGCCCTATACTTCAAATCTTGAGCTGCGACAGTCTTAGTATGCCTTTGGGAGCCAGATTACCAGTGTATCTGCCCTGCAGAGTTTGAGATCTCTTTCAGGTGGCTGGTTTTTAACGTTCAGCCACAGAGATCTGTTGAGTGCCTGAGCATGTGTGGAAAGGAGGGGATGTATGCTCTCTCCATTAGCATTTCCAAGATTCAGGAAAGCCTCATGTCTGTTCACTCCAGGATATCTACTTGTCCTGGTTTATGCAGCATATTTGAATGGAAAACTCTCAGTTGTGTAAGGGCTGAAGGAAGAAATACATTGCTGGAGTGGGCACGTTGCCATTCTCAGCCTTCAGATGGCCTCCATGTTTGTCACAGGCAGTTCATATCTGTAAGGAACATATGTCACCACTGAGATGATGTGCCATGTCATAAAAGCTCTAGTGACATTTTCTGACCTCTTAAAGTCTAACAAAAGAGGTTTGCAACATATAAATTCCATCTGCCATGGCAAAGCAACTTCCCAGATCTCTAATCACATATGCCTCTTGTGAAATGCTGCACCACCTTGAAAAAAATCAGCATATTAATGAAGGAAGCTTGTAATTTCACTCATTCCCAGATTCTTTACATAATTCATCTACTAACTTTTTTTTTTGCTTATTAAGAACCCTGAGGGGTGGAAGTTGCAGCAAATACGTGATAGCTTTAGGAGTTCCGTTTCATTAAAGCTGTATTTACTTTCTGATTTTTTGGTAGTCTGAATTGGAACCATTCTCCCTATGTTCTTAATCTTTTGCAAATACTCATGGGGTTCACAGATGGAAGCGTGAAAAGTCTGAGCTGTCTCAGGAACATGTAACAGGACTTTTGGCGAGAGTGTAAAAAGAGGAGAGTTTTTCTCATTAACCTGTGTTTGTTCACTTAGTCCATTATGGGAACTGAGATGTGCTAATTATTTTAAATTGATTCAACTTGTTTGCCAGTTTGTCATGCCAGTAGCCTCAGATGTGGGATAAGGAGACCAGACTTTGGCTTCAATTTTTACTGGGCTGACAGCTTATATAATGTACAGTTTTTGAATCAGTAGGGGCAATTTTTACAGCTTGGAAAAATAAGCAGAGTGTTTCATGCTTGGGTGGGAGAGAAGAGCACTTTATCCACTTATCCTTTACTTTGCATACTGCTGCTTTTACATGTAGATAAGACAAACCATCTAAAGCGAGACTGTTGCAGGAAATGCGTACATATGACAGGCCAACATACAATACACTTGCGTTAATTTATGAGTAACAATGAGCAAAAGCTACTTGAGATGGTGCTGGTAGAAAACTGCATCTCTGCACTGTGGTGAGAGGCAACAGATCTACCTCCTGTCATAAACTGCTTTTGTGTGTTTTCCAAGAAGCGTGCAAGCATTGTCTAGCCCTCACAGCCATCAGTGAAGAAATTAGGTCTGTTTTTATCGCTGTCTTACAGACAGAGAAAGAGGTACACTGGAAAATGGAGTGACAAGACTAGCAAATCTCTGTAAGCAGCAAAACAAGATACCAGAAGCCCTGGCTTGCCAGCCTGTCTCATTACATCATGCCCATGTGCCCTGGGCAAACCCCATTCTTTCGACTGTGTTTGTACATAGCATCAGTGATATAGCAGGCTTCGATACTGATTCTAATACTGATTTTTAGACATAAGGTTATAATTTCCCTGATACGACCTATCCTCAGGCTCCCTGTTAGTAAAAAGAACTTCTCCTTTCTTCACTGGGGTATCGAGAGATGATGTGTATAGGTGTCACAGAATGGATAAGTAAAAAAATCACACAGGGACAAGAGAATCGAGAAACCTGTAAGCATTGCTCTGGATGTAAGTGCTCTGAGGATGCAGCAGTACGTTCTCAGTCCAGCACTTGCAAGGATAAGTCATTACACTCTGCATCTCCCCTCGTAGCGGACCATATGGTAAGGTCCTACTGTGCATGTACTTGCCCTGAGGGTCCTACTCACAGATGAAGTGATGAAACTGAAAAGCCTGCTGTGCAGGAGTTCAGTAGGGTTTTTGTAACTGTATTGCCATGCAACCATTTCAGTTGCCTTTATGTTTGATGTGTTTTTGTAGATCCTGATGAGGTCTGTAAAATGAGCTTATTCTTAATTGCCATTCATACAATTCTTACCTTGCCATTCTTAATTTCAAGAAGTTCATAGGGGGGTTAGGTGGGATAAGTTTTTATATTTGCCACTTTGCAGTAATGACTTATTTTGCATGTTTTGGCCCTGAAACAGAAGGAGAAGCCATCTTTTTCTGCATTAGTTGCAGAGTGAAAATGGTTATACTAGCAGTTACTGCAGAGTGGTTGGTGCAGTGTAAAACTCCACCTTGCTTCATTGTGAAATTAGCCTGTTCATGTGGCCTTGGAGACACCAGTGCAAGCACCTGAAACAGATGATATTTGAACTCCATATTGTGAAGCTTTCTATCACAGCCCAGTCGTAGCTGACATTTAAAACGTGCAGCAAGAAGGAGAAAGTGAGATTAGGAGATGTCTCAGTAGAGGTACTGCAGCCCATCTGGGCTTTTCACAGCGAGAAACTCTACCCAACTGGGTATCAAAGGGCTTGCTTTGTTGTCTGCTTAAATAATAGCCAGGTAGACTGTGTGTGGGAAGGGATTGTCTGGGGGAGAAAAGCTGTTTAGCATCAAGCTAAGAAAACAGCAAAGAACTGCTGTTTAAAAAGCTGTATAAAGAGCTAGGCCTGCTGCTTTCCTTCCAATGCTTAGCAACTTTTTTCGTTTTAGGAACTTTCCGCTGTACTTTCTGTGAGACTGAAGTGGAAGAAGATGAGTCAGCGATGCCCAAAAAGGATGCAAGGACACTCGTGGCAAGATTTAATGAGCAGATTGAGCCCATCTATGCACTGCTTCGTGAGACAGAAGATGTTAACTTAGCCTATGAAATCCTCGAGCCAGAACCCACAGAGATTCCTGCCCTGAAGCAGAGGTGGGAACACATCAGGTCTTCTCTCACTGCACTGCTTCCTTGTAGAGCATTTGTCTGCTCTATGAGGCTTTCCCAAACCTTGTGCAGCTCTGGCTGCATTGAGGACTTACTTGTTCAACACCAGCTATGCAACCAACTGACAGATGCCCCAAGACATGTGTAGTTTATAAAGAGACAAAGGGCCATAACCATTTTTTACTAAACAAGGCAGATGACTATTCTTCTGGTCAGCCTCCTGCATGTAGTTTTCTGCAGGCTGGGATACTCGAATTACCTGCTGTTTGCTCTGCTGGAGCTGGTATGTATAACAAGCCCTTGCCCCAGTATTTAAGAAATGCAAACTGCAGCCATTTGGCAAAGCTCTGAAAGTACCATCTACACTGTCTTCTTTCTCTCAAACCCTTATCTTTCATCTATTCCTTTTGCTTCTACCCAGCTTTTGAAACTAAGGTGTCTGCATGCTACACTTTGCGTTTCAAATCCACATAGAGCAACTTTCTAGTTCAAAGACATTACTTATAATAAGGGTATTTTTTTCTTCTGATTTTCTCCTACATGTTACATGCTTCTTTTTGGGAAGAGACCATGTTATAGTCAAAAACTCTTTATAATGTTCCTACCCATGGGAAATGACACTTTCTTTCAGAACATTCTTAGCTGTAGAAAAACAGATGATGTTTAAATAATGCAGAAAGATGTGGGGAGCTGTCAGTTTTGTCAGCTGTGGTGAAATGTGATGCACTTCTCTGTATTTTAAAAAAAATTAATTAAGCACACAGGGGAGTAAAAAGAAATGTACCATGAGGGGAAGTATACCCACAGTGCCTTGGGGTGCTTGGCTTTCGTTAATGGGAGAGCAACCAAGATACTCTTTTTTTTTTTCTCTCAGGCTAACCTTGAGAGAGAATGTTCCTTATATATTCATGCTAGACAGTTAATATAACAAAAAATTATTTATCTATTCATAGTCTTTTTCTAGCCACGAAGGTAGCTAATTTTGCTTATCGTTCTGATAGAAAAACAGAAGCAATAGAGAGAGGGGAAGACATCTTTCCAAGGTCACTCAACATGTCTTTGGTGATATGGGGAGTCTTTGAAGCCTTTATGCCCAAGCTGAATCACTAGACTTTGCTTTAAAAACCCTTTTCTGTAGTTTGAGTAGTAGAACTGGGATAACCCCACCAAAAAGAGAGTAATTTCTCAGTCTTCCCCTTCTGTGCACAGGAAATTATCACAGCAGAAGCCTGGTGCAGTCCCATGATTAAATAGCAGCACCCACTTACTTGACTCTTAAATACTTAAAAAACATTGTAAATGATTAATTAGTCTGTGCAAGGAGTGACAAAATAAATAGGCGGCTTTTTAAATGCTTACTTGAACACAACGTGCTTCAGCACATACAATGATTTAATTATTTATTAACTCTTATTAATTCAAAGCAGCTAATTGCATGAAAGTACTGCTGTGAGATTTTTTTGAAAGTACCAAACCCTGGGTTATTTATTCTCTCTGTTTTTGTGGAGTCCTGAGTGTCTGAAATCATTGACAAAACTGACATTTGGTGATTCTGAAACACACAGAAAAGGCCACAAAGGGCCTGCATCTTCTCTCTGCACTGACACAGGCAACTTCATGTGTTTTCAGGAGAGTTACAGCTCTGAACAGCTACACTGAAATTGCATAACTGTCATTCACCTGCATGGGAAACTGGGCAGATCTTTATTTATATCTTTCTAGGAGGCCGTTAATTTTCTTAATCTCGTCAGAGCATGAATTAAGCCCCACAGGTTTCAAAATAAACCTACTTTACATAAGCCTTTCTCTGGTTTTCTAGAACAGATGGATTTGAATATCCCCTCCATTTTCTTATGTCAAAATAGCATAATTTTATATAGCAAAAAATATTCACAGAATTAATTTTTTGTGGCCATGCTATCAAGGACCATGAGTTGTCTGTTGTGAAGCTGAAGCTCTTAAGAGCAGCTAAGTGAAAAAGCACTTTGTTTCAAACACGGCACAAAAAGAGTTATCCCCATTATGCAAGACCTCTTCTTAATAGTCTGGGCTGGATTGAGATGAAAATTTCAAGTTGTTTCCTCTTTGCACAGTGTGGTTTCTGTGGGCCATACCTCAGCTCTGTCGAGGATTATTTATGTCACCTTTAAAGGCAGCTAACCGCTCATGAAGGGATTTCCATCAGGGTAAAACGACTGATGGGTAACAGAGCAAAATTAGCCACATCTGGACCACTGAGCTGCCACTGGTCTGAGCAGTTCCTCGTTGCAGGATGGCCATGCAGAGTCTAGATCTAGGTGCAGAAAAAGCAGATCTTGGATCTAAGAGAGAGAGAGAGATTTAAGAGTGCACTCCCTTCATCTGCTCTGTGCTGCCTGTAGCACAGCTCATGCATCTGGCCTTTTGCTGGCGCCTGGTCCATGGTGTTTAATCCTGTACTTTGGAACAGAGTTGCTGAACAGTAATATCTCTTCTTGCAGTAAGGAGTATCCCCCTGGTCACGTAGTCTTGAGAGGTTCCTGACTCCGACCAAGTGTCGCTGAAGATTGTTGTGGTTTAGCCCCAGCTGGCAACTAAGCACCACGCAGCCACTCACTCGCTCCCCCATGGTGCGATGAGGGAGAGAATCGGATGGGTAAAAGTGAAAAAATTCGTGGATTGAGATAAAGACAGTTTAATAGGGAAGGCAAAAGCCGTGCACGCAAGAAAAGCAAAACAATTAATTCATTCACCACTTCCCATCAGCCATCTCCAGGAAACCAGAGCTCCATCCCGTGTAACAGTTACTTGGGAAGACAAACGCCGTCACTCCAAACGTCCCCCCCTTCCTTCTTCTTCCCCCAGCTTTATATGCTGAGCATGACATCATATGCTATGGAATATCCCTTTGGTCAGCTGGAGTCATCTGTGTCTCCTTCTCAACTTCTTGTGCACCCCCAGCCTAGTCACTGGTGGGGTGGTGTGAGAAGCAGAAAAGGCCTTGTCTCTGTGTAAGCACTGCTCAGCAGTAACTAAAACATCCCTGTATTATCATCACTGTTTTCAGCACATATCAAAAACATACTAGCTACTATGAAGAAAATTAACTCCGTCCCAGCCAAAACCAGCACAAGATGCAGTTCCACAAACAAGGAAGTAAACTGAGACACATTTGCAAAGCTCACCAGGGTCCAAAAGTAGACAGTGTCTAGATGGTTCCACCTAAGTGTGGGACATGGCAGTAGATGGCTTAAAGTAATTAGTACTGTAGGTGTCTTGTTACTTTCATTTTTGAAATGTTCCTGACATCATGGAATAAATGTTTTGCTGCTATGATACCGCCTAGGTAAAAAGTCCATTTCAGGCACACTTTCAGGGACCTCTGTGCAAAAGTATTATTGGGCAGTTCCTGGCACTACTGAGTATTTAGTTGTTACGCTGCAGTCTTGCATGGAGCAGGAGGGAGAGCTTGGGGGAGAGCTGCATTGTGTATCTTGTGAGGAAAGTGGATTAGAGAAAATCACAAGGGAAATGCTAGTTAGAGATTTCTCTTGTGTGGGTAGCAGAGTGGTGCTTTTCACAGAACATGGCTGTCGTGGAGAACTGAAAGGTACCAACACTTGAAATAACGCATTGGGAGAAGGTCTCTGTGTGGTCCCTTAGGTTATATAAGCAATAGACGTGCATGAGCCTTCTGCCCCCAAATTCAAGGCAGCTCTTCAAGGAGGGCTGGCTGCAGGAGAGGACTGGTTAGTGTGTGGACACATACTAACATGCTGTGAAGTATTTTGCTAACAGGCATCAGCAAACTCACTCTTAGAAGGCTGTGAGTAGCCCTCAATCCAAACTGTGGGTGAACATACCATTATTTTTTAACTGGGGAACAGAGATGATCACCTACCTGCATATTCTTTCCTCACTGTTTACCCCTAAAAAATCCAGCAGAATTAGCTCATCAAGCAGTGGTTAAGTCCTTGCTGAAGTAAAAACAATTGCATATTACTCAGGCCTTCTCTAACTGCAACCTTATTTTAAGCTTCTTGGTTGAAGGAAGGGTCACTGGGTAGGTAGCAGTGACTGAACCATGCTCACTGACAACTTCTGTCAGCTCAGCTGGCAGCAGAGCAGGACCCTGTGAGTACCCTTGTTGAATTTGCTCTGGACAAGAGGAGGAGACCAGGCAGGTCTGTTACCTGTGAAAAGCCTTAGGTACCACTGGCAGTCAGATGACTAAAATTATATGGCTGAGGGTAGATGCCGTCTGCAGTGGATCTGTTTTTCTGAGAAGATTAAATATGATTTTGAAGTAGAGGAACAGTCACATTTGGCTTTCGCCACCCAGAGAGCAGTGAGTTTCCATTCAGCTGCTTTCCCTGATCAATGCATGTGTAGCAGCACAGGCCAGAGAGAGTATTTTAGGCTCATTGCCATCACTGTGCAGAAAGTACTCCACCTGATG